ATGTGTACCAGTGTAGTATGCCATAGAAGGGAAGCTGTTTATGGACTCTGCCCAGATGTTGGTAAGTTAGGGGTTTTTCCTCTTCTTGTGAAAAGCAGCTGAACTGAATTTTTCTAGGCAGCAATGGAATATAATTCTTTCTCTTGCATAAACAGCTTTTGGACATTGGTGTTGTCTTTAGCAGTGAACTAAACTGCTAAATACAACTGAACTAAATTCTCTGAGGCATTTCTCTGCCTTCCTCTCAGTGTTTCTACAAATTTCTGCTCATCACGAACACAGTGGTGTAGTACTGGCAGAGGAGGACCTGCAAACTGTTGTACAGGGAGTCTTTGAAATCCAACTCATATTCTACTTAACAGGAGGCCTGGAAGATCAACAACTATTGTGTCTCATAGCCTGTCTGCTTCTTCTTGTGCCAGCAAGCTTAACCCAAAACTATTCCCTGTGCTCCAGTGTAATGTTTCCCTTAGACCATAAGCCCCAGCTGCTCTGATTGTCAGTCAGGCCACTGAAGGAGTAGGAAGGGGGAGCCAGTTAACTGGGCTGAGTGCAGAGCAATATAGGCCCCATCTAAATCAACTCTGAGAAAAATACCTTCTGCACTTGTTTTCCTTGCAGACTATGCATCGTAAATGTTCCACATTGCCCAGAGCTCTGACAGGCAGCATTCCAGCTGCATGGGTGGGTGTTGGAGTGCACTCTCCCAGTCCTGCTGGGGACTCTCTGGAAGCAGTGGGAGTCACTGGGGCCGTGCTGTGTGCATGCTGGCACACAGTCTGCTTTGGGCTTCAGTTCTGGACCACTGCTGAGGAGTCAGCAGAAGACTGAGGGGAAGGCCTGTCAGACATCTAGGGCTTCAGACAGAATCCAGTTTTCTCTTGGGCAATATGGTTTTATAGAATAAACATTGCATTGTCTGTAAGGCTTTAATTTTCCACAGTGGTTTAATTACACATAATTATGACAAGTGCTGAGGAACCTCTGCTTTGTCTTAATCCACGTACTGACTTCCAGGCCCTTTCCAGCATACCTGGGCAAACCAGTATCGCATCAGAAGAGAAGGTACCCACTTCAAACTGGCAGGTCAGAACAGGGGTTACAAGGTACTCTGTCCCAACATTATCCTGTTGGGATTTCTAGAGAGTGTGGATAGAAAGCAGTCCTGTTTCTGCCACAGACTTTCATTTTGCCACACACAAAATGTTCCCCCTTTCCTGAATGAGAGCATGAGCGGGCTTGATCTTTCATTTAACTTTCAGCACAACTGAAGTGCATATATGTGCATCCCTACCACACCTCCACCCACACACAAGATGTACATACACATTTGGAACACAGAGAACCTTCCTGGTGAGTCATTGTGTTTGTGCTGCCTCTGTTGCAGGCAGCAGCATCATCTAATTCCTTTCATCAAGTGCCATCATGAAAGTTTGCCATTTTCTTGTAGCTGTGCTCCCTCACGTGGCAATTCCTTGCTCTGATAGTTAAAGATTTCCTTCCAGATGCCAGCTTCAATTGATTCATAGTCAGTTTACCTTCTTTGTTTGCAAGCCAAAATTTCTCTTTAGCCCGAATGGTTCCTGTCCCTTTCTGGTAAGTTCCCTCTCCTGATTGCAATGATTCCTCAAACAAAACTGCTCCTGCAGTCCCATTGGCTGGCTGGCAAGCTCAGCCTCTCTCAGCTCATTTGGAACTTGTTGGACAATTTCAGCCGGTGCTGGCAAGGGAGCAGTGGTGAGAAATACAGGTGGTTCCTCCACACAGAGTGATGGCTGTTGACAGAGTATGGAGCAGGGACTCAGCATAACACCATCACTGGGATAAAGGCAGTGAACTCAGCCCTTCTCCACAATCAGGGACAGCAAATAGTTGGCTGGTTGTGTATTATACTGCCTGTTGGCCCAGTCTAGCAGAACTGGGAGAATGCTTGGGACAAAATGCTGGCTGGAAGGGATAGGGATAGGGCTTGCTGGAGTATACAGGATGGATGAATTAAGCAGTTTAAGCCCTTATTTGCTGGAAACAAAGCCCTGTTCATTTGTGGAACACTTAGTTATAGAGGGTGGTTATGATTTAAGTATGTGCAGGGATACTGATATATCCCAGGAAAGGGAGAAACAGGTCATCAGGGAAAACATGAATCAGTTCAGTTCTTCCCTGTGCCAGATGAGCAGCAGAATGCATGCATGTCCTTCAGCTCTCTCCAGCCCTCAGCCCAGGACACAAATGATGCATAGGTCTCCTGCTGGCCCTGCTGCACTGGGGCACATTTCACCCAGTGAGATGGAGAGATAATTGAGATGATTGGTTCTTTATATATCTGCTAGCTGGGTCCATGGGCCATGAGACTCATGAACTGTCAGACTTCTGAGTGCAAATCAGCCTTTAGGCACTTGATCAAAGGCACTCTCTCAACTTTTCACCTTGCTTTAGCTCTATTTTAAGCTACAGGCCCGGAGTGCAGAGGTCTTGCCATGACCCATAAGTCAGCATTTTCAGAGCAGATGAATCCCTGTGGCCATAGTTAAGAAGTGCTGCTGATCCATCATTGAGAGATGTGCTCAGAAAGTGCCAGGAAGGCTTTCCTTCTGTTTTGCCCAATTGTGTCTAGCCAGAAGCTGTCTGAGAGCCAGATCTGAATACACATCTGATGTGTGGTTCTGTAACTGATGTGACATGTGTCTCATATAGTACTGGGGTACATTTTTAAACAAACATCATATTGAAAGAAAGCACAAGCATGAAATTCCAAAGGCATTTGCTTTCATATTTCAGTGTACGTTGGTTTACTTGGACAGATAAGCAGATGGGAGGGGGAAAGAAAGAAATCAGTTTGACTGTTGAAGATGCCCTTCTGAAGGTGACCTAGAGGTTGTGTGGGGTTGGCTGGTGCTGTCATCATTGGTGGGTTGAAATACCTCAGGATTTCAGCCTGTGCCTGTGCTGGCTGGATCTGGGATTTCTGCATCAAAGGCTGGAGTGGTGAGCTGTGGGAAGGTGGCTTCCCATCTTCTTGTGGCCAGTTCAGTAGAAATACTGAACATCACTCAATAGACCCTAGGACAGGCTGTCCAAAGACCTGGCCCAGTCCAAGCAAGCATGGAGTTCTTCAAATTTTTCAGGGAAAAGCCACCTCTCATACCTCACAGTATAGAACTTTCCCCTTTGTATCTCACCGCCACTTTGTGAGGTAGAAAAAGAGCAGCACAGTATATTTACAGATGCTGTGTGAACATACTAAGAGGTTGACATGGTTTATTTTCTCACATTTCAATACAAGTGTCAGAGGAAGGAGTCACTGTAGGAGGCAAATTACCCTGGTTTCCTTGTCCTGCACCCCCAACTGAGTGTGTATGTGGTATATAGTAAGTTCCCTCCAATTCCTTTTAGGTTAGGATTTTAAACAAGAAGATCGATTTTAGCGATATTCAGTCCCGGTGTGGTTCCAGAGATAACATCAAACATTCTGCAGGGGGAGGAAATGTAAGTAGTATGGACACCCTGGGAACAGGCACTTCCACTGTGGTGAAGCACCTCACACAGGCAGAAGCCTCTGTCTCCCTTCCTCTGAGCACTGCTTTCCTTCTTGCTGCTGTTTCACATGTGAATTTGTCTGGTAGTCAAGTGAGCCTTGTGTTTGCAGTGGTGGCCTCCTGATCTTTCCCCACAGAGCACAACACATTTTCAGAACTTGGACAGGGAAAGGAAATTATAAAAGAATGGTTATCTCTAAGTGATGAAAGAAGGGTTATCATCTCTAAATGATAAAATTAGGGTTATCTCTAAATGCCCAAGTGAAAGTGCAGTCTAAGCCAAAATGGTTCAGTGCCTTTCTTTCATGGGAGGAGCCCAAGAAAGTAATTTCCAGAAGAGACTGCAGCTTGCAGTGAGACTCCAGCCTCCCCACTGGGCATTTTCTGTGCACCAGTCCTTCCCCAGCTAACCTTTCAGTTATGTGCATTCAGCAGAGGGGAAGAAGAAAAATAAAACAGGAGGACAAAGAAAGCTCAGAGAAGAGGGTGTGATCAGCCAGCATGCTGAGTGCTGATGTCACAGCATTATTCCAGTATAAGAAACTGAGGTGGCCCAGGGTTTGACCAGACACCTGCTGGTTTTATTGGGCACACTGGAGTAGCTTAAGGTGGATATGACTGTCCTGATGGAAATGATCACCCCTCTGATGGAAGAGCTGATGGTGTGGGCACATCTGATCCAGGCAGAGTCAATACAGCAGCCAGTGCTGCCTAAGCCACTGGGGGTGTGGTGAGCAAGCCAGTGGCATTGCAGTTACCCTGGAGCTCCTGGCTGGCTGTGACTTCTTGGGGCCTGCCAGTTCTGTGCCTGTGGGCCACATCTTGGAGCTATTTGGGAGTGTCACTCTGTGGCTGTTCCCAAGCTGGGCTCAGCACAGCCATGGCAAGGTGGCAGCAGGAGGAGGGGGGGTGCCTGACCTGCTGCTCTGCAGTGAGCACTGAGCCAGCTGGCTGAACCTCAGCCTGCTCAGGTACAGCTGCAGGAGGCACATGTGTAGATTACTCAGACTCTGCATAGTGGATTGACAGGAAATGGATACCATATATAGATACAGAAAAATACAAAACAGATGGTAGAGAAAAAAGCAGTCACCAAAATATCCTAGTTGCCAGGATGCATAATCGAGACAGAAGTAAATGGAATGGATCCTGCTGTGTGCAGGGCTTTGGAGCACCCACTCTGAAAGGAGGAGGCTCAGAAACATTTTAGAAAGAACCCACAAGCTGATCTCCTTTATCCTCCTCTTCATTTTGCTAATAGTAAAGCTTAACCCAGCTTTGTCATCTCCCTATGTGGGAGGTTTCCTCTTTTGTGGCATGCTCTGTTTTCTACTAACCATTTCTCCTTTTGCAGTGGTTTATAGAAGCATCTCACTCTTTCTCTGCAGGGCTTGGCTTTTAACATGTTTTTTTTATTTTATTATTTTCATTCTTGTAATTTTTGCATGTGTGCACTTTTGACAGGTACAAATTGTAACCAAGAAGATTGACTTGAGTCATGTGACTTCCAAGTGTGGCTCACTCAAGAATATCCACCACAAACCAGGTACTGTAGGAATTTATGGGTTGTGGGACAAAGCAAGAACCCAATACTGTTATTTGAGCTCAGAATCATGGATGATACTGTTCTCTTTTACAGTCAAAGAGAAGAGAAATACTCTTTAGTAATAAAAATACATTAAATTACTTAACTAAATATATAAAGGCATAAAGGTATGAGACCACCTAGTTTAGGGAGGTGATAAAAAAATACTGCCAAAGGATGTTGCTCTGGCATAAGATTGAATTATAGGCTGAAGTCAGTGAAATACTTAAGCATGTGCTTAAACCCATGAGAACCAGTAGGACTGCAGCACCTGCTTACATTTTAAATATATGTTGAAGATTTTATATTTTACTGAACATGCAGAGCATTATTCTGTGCTTCTCCAAAACCATTAGATCTCAACTAAAAAGGAGGTAATGTGAGTGCATTCGTGCTTCAGGTCACACTTTCTCCTGCACCATTTCAATTTCTTAATGTATGTTTCCTTTTCCTCTGTAGGAGGTGGGCGTGTGAAAATTGAGAGTGTGAAACTGGATTTCAAAGAAAAAGCTCAGGCTAAAGTTGGTTCACTGGAAAATGCCCACCATGTACCTGGTGGTGGTAATGTCAAGGTAAAGGAACAGCTGTCAGTAAAGGCTCCCACTATGCCCCTGGCCCAGTGAAATTACTAGGGCTGTAAATTCAGTGATGGCTCTGAATTGAGTAGGAAACATCCTGTCTGTCCTCCTTCAAGCACACTTATATACCAGTTTGTTCCCTTGGAAATTTGGAATGACCCATCTTGCATCTGCATCTAAGCTGAGAGTGAAATGTCATGTAGTTTGTGCACTGTCTTTTTCCCCTAAAGACAAACCTTGTTGGGGACTGAGGGACAGGTATGATCTGAAAGGAGGACTCCATTGTGGAGCAGGAGGAAAACATCCTGAAAGTAAAATCACTCCCACAAACATTTGAAAATACAGATTTTGAAAACAAATCATAGTTCCCATACAATGCTTATGAAATTTGTACACCTAGGAACTTCTCTTTAAAGCATCCATCAGAGGCAGAAATGGTAAGAGAATGTAACATAGTGCACCAGTAGCTATTAAACAAGGTGAAAATACAATTTTCTAAGGAGCAAAGAAGCTTTGATCCTTCTAATAGTTTTTAAAAGCAAAATGATGCCCAAATGATGATCTATAACAACATAATTTAGTGAGCATATAATGTGTGAAATTCTTTCTTTTCCTGGAGCAGATTGACAGCCAGAAGCTGAACTTCAGAGAGCACGCCAAGGCCCGTGTTGACCACGGGGCTGAGATCATCACGCAGTCACCAGGCAGGTCCAGCATGGCCTCGCCACGCAGACTCAGCAACGTCTCATCCTCTGGAAGCATCAACCTGCTTGAATCACCCCAGCTTGCTACCCTTGCTGAAGATGTCACAGCAGCCCTTGCCAAGCAGGGGTTATGAATTTGCTCATTTTGCATTGTATGAAGTAATAATATTTAGGCATGAGCTCTTGGCAGGAATGGGCTCAGAGCAGGTGTCACGTTCATTCTTTACCATGTCTAAAACTAAGTTACATCCCAAGACTTGTAGTTACCATACAGTTTAAAAGAAAAAAACAGAAAAAAATAAATTCCATAGATGCAGAAATTGGCCTGACCTCCATTTACAACAGGAAGACACTGGCTTTATATGGGTATACAGCGGTATGTTACATTGGACAATTATTGTTGCTCTGCTCTGTCTTGCATGGAGTACTGTAGTATGATAAAAATGCATTTTTACCTTTCATGTGCCTGAAGGCCATCCACCTCTTTCTGAAGAGCCTTGTTAATATCCCAAGTTGCTCATTTCACAGTTCTTTTGATAGATGGGGAAATAAAAAAGAAAAGTTGCCCATTGTAAGTTATTACAGGTTAAATTAACAGTCTGCTTACCAGAAGGAAGGGCATATAGGGAAATTCAACTTTAATTAAAAAAAATATGTTACTTTGTATAAATGAGTAGAACAAAAGTTGAATTAAGTTATTAACATTTTTTGAACCTGGTTAATTATGTCAGTGTATAGCTGAAAAGCCAATAAATTATTTAAATAATAACTAAAAATACTAGCTGAAAACATTTGAATCGTGCTTTGGGAAGTGACGTAAAAAAGCTGCTGAAAGCGAGCACTCATACCCCAACAGACTTGTGTCTGATTAGAAAAGTTGGTTAAGCAGCTAGATTTGTGTGCATACCACCAGTTCCACATTCTTTCCATCTGTTTGATACAGTATTATAGATATATATATTTCTCTGTGGCCATTTGTGATATGCCCTCCTCATATACTTGAATATTCTACTTCTTTATTCACAGTATCTGTGTCTCTTGCACCCTTTGGTGTTGCAATTTTAGGTATGTAAAAGTAGATGTTAGCAGGGGGTTTTTTCCCTATTCATAAGAATACATTTAAAAAAGATGAAAATTGTAGCATGAAGTTGCTTTCTGTAACAACTAAAAGCCGTGACCCTGTTTTAGTGACAGATGCAAGTCTATTCTGTGATGCTAGAAAAAGGATTCCTTCCTTCTTCCCTTCCTTTCTTCACAAAGAAATGATTTTTGTGGGGTCCAGATGTTTGTAAAAGAGTCTCCAAAGAAGGCTGAGTTTGGACTATGGATTTTTTAAAAATCCACAATAGTTTGGTTCTTTCCTTTCCCTCTCTCTTTCTTTCTTTCTCTCTCTCTCTCTCTCTCTCTCTCCTTTCTTTCCTTTCTCTTTCCCTCCCTTCCTTCCTCATTTTTTCTTCATTCCCATAGTAACAATGAATGTTTGATTTATTGTTTTTCTTTTGCTAAAGTTGAAACACAGAAAAAATATTAAGATGCTGTTTCCACTCCTTTAGTGATGTCTCACATGTACACTCAGGCACTCAGATAACAGTGATAATCATAGCAGAGATGCCTGTAAATTACAATACATGAATAAATAAAAATCAGCTCCCTAGACTGGTTGTCATAGTGATTCATCAATTAAATAGGGCATCTTAAAATCTGAGCAAAGTGGGATTATATTGACTATAAAAAGTGTAAGAAAAAATGTGCATGAAAGATAAAAGGCAGATGCACAACCAACAAATCTAGTGGAGTTACCTGAGAGAACACTGGTGATGGGGATGATCCTCAGCCGCAGATCATCACCTCCTGGTGCCCTATGTACATGAGACATTAAGGAATGAGCAGTTTACATTCTTGCAGATTGTTTTATCTTTTCCTTTTGAAACCTCCTAACTGAACTTTGCACTGTCAGTTGAGCTATACTTGATGTATGTATTAGGTTAATGATGTGGTTTGGAAACTTCCGATCTGTTCTTTTTCCTTCTTAATTTTCGTGTGTGTGTGTGTGTGTGTTGGGGTTTGGTCTGAAAAGACTCACAGAGATTTTTATGTCTGTGGAGATTCTACAAATTAATGGCACAGGATTCCCCATCATTACATTCAGGTAGTAATGCAGTTACTGGTCAGTAAATATTCAGTGGACCAAAGTGGGGTTTTGGCTAAACTGCCACAGCAGTACAAACACAAAACAGAGTAGTTAAATCTCTCAAACTTCTACTGAATATGAACTTCTGACAGCCCCACACATGACATTTCAGCTCTGCAAAAAGCTTTTTCACACAATAAGGTACCTAACACTGTTTGTAAGTCAGTTGTTTCATATAAAGAACAGTGAGTTTAGAACCATCCCAAGTGCAATTGGAGGATTCTGATTTCTGCCTTGTATTTGTTACACTTCTGCTTAAAGTAATCCTAAGAATTCACATGGAAACAGTGTCAAGTGAGGTGCAATAAAATCTTCCCATTTTCTCAGAAAAACAACAGACAGAAAGGAAAACTGACAGTATTTGTATCACTTTGCTCTGATTATGCTATCAATGAATATAAATTAGCTTTGCAGTGGTTTTTCTTTCTATTCCTTTTGCCAGTGTAGGAGAAAAACTATGGTACTACTGAACCTCTGCTCTCTGAACCCGAGCAGCATCTCATGGGAACAGTGTTAACCTGAGACTCAAGTGTTTTTATTCTGCTTTTAAAATTGGCATACTCTAGAAAATAAGGCTTAGTTAATTCATCTATGAGTCCAAAGTTAGAGTGTGTAACACACCAACTCATTTATTTCATGCATTAAAATGAGCTTTCTTGTTTTGACTGAAGCAAAGACCTTTGTAATCATTATCATCCTTCCATAGAAAGAATCCTAGAATGCTGTGGAGTTAGATGAAAAGAAATTAAGAGTTTTGTGCTTTTGAATAATAATTAAAAAAAAAACCAAGTTATGTTACATGACTCTAGATGTTCACTGAAAAGCTCATATTAATCTTAACTTTCTCAAGAAGAGTGTTCGTTTCAAAAACAACAGTTTGTAAATATGTAATGCCCACTAAAGAAGATAGAGCCAGCTTCCTGGAAACTGCATCTGTTGTGTTTCTTTTCCACAGGCATGTTGAGCCAGCAGGTTTGTTGGGTGCCTGAGACCCAATTGTGTAACAAAGCAGAGGTAATCCAGACAAAAGGAATGGTGAAACCTTGTTTGGGTACCTAGGGGAGCACCCCAAATTTAGCATCCATCGGGTTGTAGAGATGAAAGAGTGCTTCTGCCTCATCTGCAGAGTTCTGTTTCTATGTAACCACAAGCTGAAACAAATCAAAGTTGAGCAAACCTCTGTCCAGCAAGAGTAAAGGAAAAACTAAACCTGATGAGGAAAATTATGAGCCCATGAGGGCAATATATATTTTCACTGTACAGCAGTAAATGGAATTAATTATTCAGTCCTCTGCTATGGTACAGTAGTAACCTCATCATGACTGCTCACACATCTAAGTTTGCCTAAATACACGACTCAAAGGGAGTCAAAAGGCAGCCTGTGTTGGCTACCACATGAGCAGAAGTTTTTTCCATGCTGGAATAAATACTGTTTGAAACCCAAGTATATGTCCCTTCAAAGGCAAATGCCTTGAAGAGTAGATCACATTAGCTGTGAAAATCAGTGCTGGTAGATTTCTAGCCTAGGTGTCTGTGAGTTCACTCACTAGTCAGATTGCTAAAGCAACTCCCTCTGCAACTCCAGCAATTCCCACTGCAGGAAGGTAAATTAGTTTCACACTGGGAAAACTCAAGTGTATAAAAGCCACTTCAACTTTAGCAAAGAGAAAAAGCCAACAAGTAAACATGCTGTATGCTGGGATATCAAGGAATACAGTCTGCTGTTACAAACCTGTGTTTTTTCTGATAATTCTAGAGCCTGTTACCATAAAAGAGGCATTTCTTGAATGGCTGGTGGTAGGTAGTTCATGTTTTTCAATCCGATTTGCAATTGTATTTGTTGCTGTATAGTGATTGTTTTGCAAAATAAACTCGCTTGTCATCTAATCACATGTGTTACCTTCCTGTGTTTGTGATCCAGTTCCTCCTGAATCCAAGCCCTGCACAGCCAGCACCTGCTGGTACTGCCCTCAGTCTGCCCAGGAGCAGTCACAGCAGATCCAGTTGTATTGTTCAGCCAATCCCTCTCGCTTTTATACAAAAGGATCAGGTTTTATGGCTTGCATCCTCTTCTGTGGGTCAGTATCTCCCTGCTGGGTACAAATTTCTTCTCTGAGAGGGTGATTAGACATTGGAACTGGCTGCCAGGGAGGTGGTGGAGTCACTGTCCCCGAAGGTGTTTAAGGACAGCCTGGATGTAGCACTTGGTGCCACAGCCTGGTTGACAAGGCAGTGTAGGTTCATAGTGTTGGTTGGACTCAGTAATCTCAGACGTCTCGAGATGATCTCCCAACCAAACTGGACTTGTGATTCTGTGGTCAGGACCTGTGATCCAGGTCCCTGGATCAGGGATGCCTGAGGGCCTTTGTACATGAGGGAAATGGCGGCCCCAGGCTGCCAATGTGGCCCAGCCACACATCAGCCCTCAGGGCCTTTGTATATGAGGGAAATGGTGGCTCCAGGCTGCCAATGTGGCAAAGCCACTCACCAGCTCTCAGGGCTCTTGTACACCAGGGAAATGGCAGCCTCAGGCTGCCAATGTGGCACTGCCACACACCAGCCCTCAGGGCCTTTGTACATGAGGGAAGCGGTGGCCCTGGGTCACCAATGTGGCACAGCCACACACCGGCCCTCAGGGCTCTTGTACACCAGAGAAATGGCTGCCAATGTGGCCCAGCCACACACTGGCCCTCAGGGCCCTTGTACACCAGGGAGATGGCTGCCCCAGGCTACCAATGTGGCACAGCCACTCACTGGCCCTCAGGGCCTTTGTACACCAGGGAAATGGCTGCCAATGTGGCACTGCCACACACCGGCCCTCAGGGCCCTTGTACACCAGGGAAATGGCAGCCCCAGGCTGCCAATGTGGCACTGCCACACACCGGCCCTCAGGGCCCTTGTACACCAGGGAAATGGCGGCCCTGGGTCGCCAGTGTGGTGCGGCCTCCTCTGCCCACCCGCCCTGCCGATCCCCTCAGCCAGCTGGGCACAGCAGGAGCGTGTGGACAGTGCCAGGGTGGTGAATGTGACAGAAGTTGGGGCTTGGGGGTGAGCTTTTGGATCTGTTTTGGAAACTAACCGGGAAACAGCACAGACTTTGAGGGGTGCTTGGAGTTTGTCATCATGGATCCGCAGAGGATGCTCAGCCCCAGCCTGAACTCAGGCTGAGGGGAGTGCAGCTCTGTGCTCTGGGTAGAACAGAGAAATCATAGATTGGTTTGGAAGGGACCTTGCCCCTGATAAGTCACAGCTGTACTAATTCCCAAAGAAGAGCAGCCTTGCCCTTAATGGGTTGTAGCTGTGACTAATAAAGATAAGTGTGATAAAAAGGTGGGTTGGCAGGTCAGAGAGAGCCTTGACAAATGAAACAAGGGAGAGAGTTGCTGCTGTAGAAGATCTGCTGTGAGGTCAGCCTGGGTCTGATGAAGTTAGAGCTGCTGTTGGAGCCTGCAGTCACAGCTGAGCCAGGTAAAAGCCTGTGGTCAGAGGCAGCAGGGAAATACTTGCAGTCATGTTCCAGCAGGAATAGCCAGCAGTCAGGGTCTGTCAGAGAAGCCAGCAGCAGGAGTTTGCTGTTGTCAGAGTAAGCATGGCTAAACTGTAAAGGAAAGTTAACCAGGACCCTTTTCAGGTTGTTAATGAGAGTCTGTGTCTTGGCTCATTTCTACCCCTAATGAGAGGTCTACTGCAACACTGAGTGTCTCCTTAGCACAGGGGTGTGGTGTAGGAGGGAAATACAACTGAGTAGAGTGCCTTAAGTATCCCAAACCTTCAGCAAGCTGGACTTCACACACAATGCTGCAATGTTTCTAAGTAAATGCTGTCAAATGACCTGGAGGAATGATAAAGTGCCATTAGTTATCCAATAGAAGCACCCTCCTAAGCATGCTTAGGTACAAGGCAGAGCTAATGCATCCTCTATCTGTGGAAAGGGAGAGGATTAAGAAGCTAAGTACAAAAGGGCAAATAATGATTAAGCATTCATAGCTAGAACAATGGTTGAGGACAACTGGTAAGAACCTGTTGCTCCCTTTCAAAGTGACCAAGGAACAGATGATATTTCTGTGATTGTTGAGTCTTATTAACAGCATGTGGAAGGTGATTTATTTCATGATTTTACTAGTAGATTGTGGTGCTGGAGTGTAGGCACACAGTTTGTGGTAATTGGGAGTGGGGCTGTGGCTGAGCCTCATCCCTAATGGGCTACAGCTGTGAGGAGCAGGTGAGCAGCATTGAAGGTAACGAGACACGGTGCACTGACCAACCACCAAAGGGAACAGAGGGCACACAGGTGCAATGCATCAACGGGAGGGGATAAAAGGCTGGGCTGAAGAACAAGAAGGGTAGATGCCTGAAGCCTTCTGAAGTGGTAAGATGTTACTCTGTGTGGGGTGAACTTTTCTGAAATTGTGTGGTGATACTCTGTGTATTGTGGTTGTATCAACTGTGACCTGTGCTGAGACATTGGAGCACTGAGATGAGTAAAACTTGTGAACAGAATCTTGATTACCTACTTGTTATTGAAAGGGCAGGAATCCTGCTACAGTGTTTGTTAGAGGTACAGAGCATCTGTCCATCCTGTGCCTGTCTTAGCTCATGGGGTGTTCCTTGCCTTGTACAGGAGGAGGGCAGAAGGTGAGATGTTGATAAGAGGCAGAAGGCCTTCCACCTAGAGGTGTTTGGCTACGCAGAAGTCCTAGTTGCTGGGATTAAAAAACAGTGTGGCCCTGGTAGAGGGATTCCCAAACCTGGTTTTGTGTGAGCACCCTTGCTCTGGACAGAGAAGCATGCTGGGGAGGAAGTGCTCAGCTCTCTCTGAGGAACAGAGAGGAAGGCGTGTTTGGTGACTCAGTGGCTCAAGAGATCCACACTTCCTTCTCTAGAAAGAAGGTAAAAAAGGTTGGGTGGGGCAGGGTTTGAGGGGAGGAGGTTTGTTGCCTTTTTTCCCCAAAAGAAGCAAAGGTTTTTCACCTACTACTAGAGCATGGTGAGTCCTGACCAAGGGATGATAATCTGACTGTGAAAGCTGAGGGTTTTTTTTTTTTTTCTTTTCCCCCTGTTTTGTCCAGATAATCCCCCTAGGTCATCTCCAGGTTTTTGTTCCTTCCCATCCTGTCCTATCTAGCTGTGCCTGTAGTGCATGTAACTGCAGTTAAATGTCTATGTGAATCTGTTCTGTTGCTTGAACATTATGCAAAGGCAGTAATTTACTGCATGAGGTGTGGAGGGCCTGTCTTTCTTGCTCTGTTTTGAGATAGAATTCTCAGATGCATGAGTGCTGTGCTACTCTACTGGTCCTGCCTAAATGTGGCTGAGGGGTTAAATATCTAACTGCTCTTGGGGAATCTGATCCAGCTGAACTGCAGTCTACTGCCTGAATTCATGCAGCAACAGCAGCTAGACTTGCCTTTTTGGGGGATCCTTGCAGTTTTAGGGATTATTTATCCTTGTCTCTGAGCACAGTTGTGTTGTGTTTGAGCAGGGCAAACTAGGAGATCTGTAAAGGAGACTTCAGAAGAACCTTAGTTGAAATGTTTTCATGCTGTTTAACAGCAAAACAGGGCTTTCCTAGGCTTCTCTCAATTTTTACGTTCCTTCTCCCTGACAGACCCATATGGGAAAGGATCAAACTAGTGACATCCATCAGTGTTGATCTTCTATGACTGGTTGTCCCTAGAGAGAAAGGGTTTCCCTTCATGATGGGTCTGTTCAGCCAGGACAGAAGCCTGCTGACAGCCAGTGGAAGAGTAAGATCTTGAGGGTGAGGGCAAATGTTTTTTTCCCTGCTCTGGAATCTGCATTTAGGAGCTGTTTGCAGCTTTGCTCTTGGAAAGGCTGCTGCACAACAGAGTGGCTTGACATACTCTTGAGAGCCTGGATTCTGCACAGAGTTCAGATAAATAAGATGTGAATTCTTAGGAGTGTGTACAGCAGGGATTGATTAAGAGTGGGAACTTGGAGAGCATAACCATGGAAACAAGTGCAAGGCAGTGAGTTTGAGCAGCTCCCTGCTCTGAGCACTCCTGTGTGAGGTGGGGGCTTCATGCTCAGGTTCTGCTCTGTGTTCCCACTCTGTGCCATCCTGCCAGCCCTGTTTCTGGATCAAGACTAAATCCTGCTGTGCTGGATTGTAAACAACTGTTTGGTGAATAAAGGAGTGATCAAGCAGAATCCTGTGATCTGGAGGCATGTCAGACTCCCCCTGCCTGCAGTGAGAGAGGAAATGGCTGGTTAGTGTCATGGGCATCTTCTGTGCCTGAGCAGCTGGCATGGGCTAGGAGTTGTTGGAGTAATGCAGAGCTTTCTCCACTTTTTCCTCACCTGCTTTGACTTTTTGCAGTAATCCTAATCATTTTGCAGTGACTTTTTGCAGTAGTCTTGATCTTTTTGCAGGCAGACTGACCTGTGTTTCTGTGCCAGCCCAAGATGCCAGTGTAGCCTAGAGAACAGAGCACAGGTGAATTTTCAGGCCACTTTGCTGTTGTCCTCCTGTAATGGCCTCTCTGAAGACTACTTTTTTCCTCTCTAAGCCCATTGTAAGGGAAGACAGAGGACTCATTTGCAGGACTTTCCCTTTGTAGCATCCACTGTAGTGTTAGTATTTAAGTGTGGTGAAATGCTAACTGCAAATCTGAGAGTCTGCTGCCAGCAGAAACTCAGTATAGAGATAAATAACATCTTCCAGATGGTAAAATTTCTTCTCCTTTTACACATGTAAATTATTTTACTCAGAGATACAGATTGGTTCAGCTTTGTGGTGGTAGGCATTGTCTTCAAAACAAGGTGAGAACAAAACTTGTCTTTAGCCACTGTCAAACTTAGTGTAAACTACCTTTGCCACCTCCTGGGTTTAGTGCTGGTCATGGCCTGTCTGGATTTGAGATCTG